CCTTTCTCTTTCTCTTCCTTTCCTCCTGGGGTAGAGAAATGAGTTTCCATTCTGACCAAGCTTGGTTGTTTCATGGACAATTTCTTTCCTGCTGTAGTTAAGACTTCAGAATGCTCTCATCTCCAGGGAAATATGTAGGGGACCCAAAGTAGCCTGCTCCTGGTCCCTGCAAGATCTGGGGCAGGGGATGATGGGGCCGAGGTGGGAGAAAAGGGGGCCTGGATGGTGGGCTCCTGCTCTGGGCTTCTCGAAAGGCCTGTGGCTTCCAGTTATGCTCCTTACCAGTGCTCCCACCACCACCAACAAAAGCAAACATAAAATAATCGAAAAACCGACTGGCAGAAGGAGGGAGGGCATGAGGCGGGATCTCACCTAATGTGCACATTGTGAGCCCTGGGTGAAGGGCTCTTTTACAACTGGAACTTTACTCTGGAAGTGAGAACAATATAACCTCAAAAATTGTACCTTCATATTAATCTGAAATGAAAAAAAAATAATTGAAAAAACCTGTATTAGTAAATGAACTTGTGTCTCAGTTAGGGCTGGTCCCTAAGTTTGGGCAAAAGGTGCGGGGGCTGTGCGCTCCTGTGTGGTTGTGTGCAGGTGTGCGGGCTTGGGCTTCTGGAACTTGAGGAGGGTGGCTTGGCTGGGAGGCAAAGTGCCTTGGATAGGGGATACCTTGGCTGGGGGTGCCTTGGCCGGGGGAAGGGTGCCTTGGCAGGGGACACTGGCTAAGTTGTGCCTGGGCTGGGGTAGTGTATATCTGCTACGGGGGGCGGGGGGTGCCTTGACTGGGGAGAAGGCAGGAGGGATTCTAGTGGGGAGAGCACCAGGGAGCAGGAGGGAAGTGGGGAGGGTCTCCAAGGGGTGGGAAAAGGAGGTGCAGTCTGGGAGGGGGTTGGCTTCATGCTGTTACGAGTTTGATTTATCCCTAATGAGTTCTCAGCACATGGCTGCTCCCGGCTCACTCCAGGGGCCAGTCGGCCCGCCCCAACTCCGCAGCCACAGCCGCAGCTCACTCAGAAAAGAGCCAATTTCCACACTGCACAGTCCGCTTCACTCAGGGGGAAATCACATTTCCCTGGGAGAGTCGCAGGCAGCGCTTCACTCCACAGCCTGGCCGGCTGCCACCGGGCACAGATGCAGAGGACCTGGCCTCCCACCACCCCTTCTCCCCCTACCCAAAGCCCCACTTGCCGCCTCTACCTCCCACAAGGCCTGAGCCCCCTACCCTAACACTCCAGGCAGCCTCTCCACAGTGGAGCCTTAGCCCTGCTG